GGATGGGGGATGCGGCGGTGCTGATTTGTGGGGAGTGTGCCCGTATGGATCTATGGTGAGGAACTGGTTGGCGTCTTCCTAAGGCTGGCCGGACTTTCCAAATCCGGCCCTCAAATGTCTACGGACACGTCCGGGCACGTCTGTGGACAGAGACCAGTCACGTTTCAAATTTGCTCCTCTTCATCTGAGTTTCTCATATTTCACCCCATAGAGCCCTACAAACCATGCAAAATAAACCTGCGTACTACGGTACCCTAGCTACAATTCATCGTCGGAGATGTCCAAGACATCGGTGCCGGGCGTCGGGTGGACGGGCACGTAGGAGGGCTCTGGCTCCTCCTCCTCCTCTGCGGCGTGCTCCACCTCCATTTCCTCCCGACGGCGGAATCTGGCCTTCGCATCCGACTCCAAGCGGGGGGAATCGAGGATGGCATGCTGCTCCGCCTGCAGATCCGCGTCCCGAGCGTCCCCCACATCCTCCTCCGGCTCTTCCTCCTCCTCCTCCTCAAGTCCTCCGAATCTACTGCATTCGAAAGTAGCCCCACGGCGATCCGGGCTTCGCACCTTTCCCGGATCTGCTTAAGGAGTTGCGGCTCGTGCTTGGATGTTAGATATGGGGGGCTCCTTACCCGACGCTGGGGGAGGGGGAGCATGTCTACTAGTGGTGGCAGAGCAGGGGAATGTCTACTAGTGGTGGCAGAGCAGGGGAATGTCTACTAGTGGTGACGGACGAGGAGTGGAAAGTGACGACGACAGCGGACATGAATGGAAAATGTGGGCGGGTAGGGTTTCGGTGCCGGCGGTCAGCTTAACTAGCCGGGCTAACCACTACGCAACCGGTCAAAGCGTCACCACACGATGCCATCAATCCGACGGAGGAGACAAGCTTCGACGTCAGTCCAACGTGGTGGACGCGCCCAGGCACCCCCATATCGACCCCCATATTCACCCCATATTTAAGCTGGATATGAGAGGCGCATTTGAGAAGCCCGTCTGGGACGCATTTTCTTGACCGGTCAGTGACCGGGCCATCCGCCCAAGCGTGCCCGGGCGTTTGAGGCGGAGGAATCCGTTCAGGATACGATGGCTCTGGTTGGAATTTTCAGATTTGCACCAAAAAAATCGGTTTTCACGTGATTCGTTGCCATTAACATTTGATAAACCAGAGCAGCAAGGCCAGCCTAAGAACTCACAGGCCTCAACCATGCGCGCGGCAAGATAATTGAACCACCAAAAAACTCGTATCATCAGAAGATTTTCAAATACCGAAAGGAAAAACATGTGCGCATGAGATTATTGAAAGCATTCATCATGTTACAAAGACTGAAAATCAACAGATACAAAGCATTTCAGGTATCTTGCCGAACAGGAAGTTTGTCAAAGTAACCATTCAGCAGATGAACCAACTGGGGCAGTTCAAGGATAAAAATGAAACAGAAGGGAATGCAATCAGAGTCATTTTGATGAGGGAAATGAGTTCCTTATTGCTGCGCGCGTAGATCCGGTGCAACCACACTTCCTCACGGATGATGCCTGCGGGGAAACGAATTAAACGTCATGAAACCATCCGAGTTCTCAAGCGTGACGGAAATAAAACTTGGAGAACACAAGCGGGCAGCTGTTTTTTAAGCAAAATAAGCATATTGACGACGCGCCGACTTGCAGACCATATGGATTAAGCAATATATTATTTGTCAGGCAGCACAAACGGATATATGGACCCTAGAACACGACTTCCCATGATTGAAAGATAACAATTCGATAGCAGACCTGGTCATGATATAGTTTCTTGGAAAATGTGCATCTTCGAGGTTATCAGAACGTTCAAATGAGTTAAATCGAGCATGGAATGAACATGCAAAGCAGCGGCTGACGATCAGCTGGTACTCCCAAGTGCACAACCTTCTGTTCTTTGCGGTATATAGACACTCAAACACGACTTCCCATGATAGAAAGATAGCAATTCAAAAGCTAACCTGAGGTATAATTTCTGAGAAATGTGAATCTTTGAGGCTAGGCTACTGTAATGTTCAAATGATTTAAAGTGAGCAGTGAATGATCATGCAAGAAGTGACTGAAAATCATCTGGTATTTCCAAGGGCGCAACCTTCTGTTATTTGATTGTGTGGCAGACATACTTGAACTAAGGGTACAGGAAAAAGAACTACAAAATTTTATGATTATATAGCAGCCAAAACTCATAAGGCCCTCAGAATAGACATTTTCTTCTAATCAATGGAATTGCTTCTTCGTAGTAAAACAAGGAGAGTAAATTCAAAGCACAAACTAACTAATCATCAAAAACTAGGGAAGATGGCAAACTAATCATCAAAAAGTGGGTGTTGCTTATCAGCAACTCAATTCTCAAATCCAGGATCCACCTGAGAGTAATGAGTTGGTAAGTAGTACTATCTCTTACTCCCACTGTTCCTTAATAAATGTGACTTAGATATCGACAGTCTCAATACACACATTTAGCCATACATTTCCATACAACAAGTCCAAATACTTATGTCTATATTGGTCAGCGTTTTCAAAACTCTGATTGTGCGCATTCTAAAAGGGCATATACTTCAGAATGGAGGGAGTAAGTTGTATCATACGCAAAACTGTGTGTCTCTTATGAGTTTATGTCTCCACTATATAGACAGCACGATAGCTACCTGATGTTCAATTTTGAAACAATGCTAAATTTGCAAAGCAGGTCATATCAATGTAGTTAGAAGAGCATTAAGGTCTCAACTATTGCCACTCCGAGATTATGGTATCAATACTAACAAAGCCTAATGGATCATGTATGAACTAGAACCTTGACAACCAGCAAGTTGCTAAATTCGGGTGAATATACTTATCTGTCACCCGCTTTGGTTAACAGAGGACCTAAGGTTACAGAATAAAGTCTGATACATGAACCAAGTACATAGATGGATAGAACCTACAAGTTTGAAGTAAGCATTATCTAAATCCTTCGACTCTCCAGAACAATGTCACCAACATTTTTGGAGTCTACTTACATGATTCCTCAAGCATGCCGTGGTACATGTGAGGCAGAAATGCTCCAGTGGCCCAGTGAGGCAATCGCATAACGAAAACTAAATAAAAGGCTGAGAATTCAACAAAATCAAAACAGCCTAACGAGAAGTACAAACCATTGAAAGGGGGCGGCCGGCATACTTTGAATGTTCAAGCATGTGTACCGGCTTTCTCGCCACTCACGAAACATTAAACAGGACTGGGGATCCAGACAGCAACACGAAACACACTATGTTAACAGAACGCCAGAGGCTGGGGAAACACAAAGCCTAACTCATCAAAACTTGAAGCAAAACTCCACCGAAGGCTTCTCCTACCAGCAGATACCCAATGAATAGCAGGTGTAAGATAAGGCGACCCACTGCAGTTTCGCGAATCAACTGAGCGGCAAGCCATATGAACTACTCCGCCCTTCACCGCAGCAGCACCCAAAATCTGACAATACTAACCTACAATACCAAACTATGCAGCCTAAAGTAAACTAAACCTAGCTGGAGCATTTTTCGAACCTACGGCCGCAGAACATCGAATTCTCCTCCACGGATCCCCGCATTCGAATCCGCCTGCGCTATCAATCGAATTCCTAGGCAGGCAGAGACGACTGCGGACGCGGTAACATGGACGGCATATCAATCGAATCCCTCCCTACGCAGGCAGAGACGACCGCGGGCACGACAACATGGACGGCGGGAGCAACAAGCGGGTATGTAGATCTGGCTGGAGGGGAGGGGAGGGGAGGTGACGCACCGGATTCGGTCTTCAGGAGGAGGAGGAGGGCGTGGCGGGGCCGGCGTGGCGGGCGAGGAGGTCGTCGTAGGGGTCGCGGCGGCCGGCGGCCTGGCTGATCTGGGGGTCCCAGGAGAGCTGGGAGTTGAAGCGGTCGAAGGTCCAGAAGCCGTAGGGGCGGAGCGGGAGCGCCCAGGCGGCCTTGGTGCGCTCGCACCGCTCCTTCATCCGGTAGACGTGCGCCCGCTGCGCCTCGTCGCGCTGCTCCGGGTCCTCCATCAGCCGCAGGACCAGGTTCTCCGCGAACTCCATGATGAATCCCATGGCGGCCGAGGCTCCTCTCGCTCTCTCTTTCGCTCGCGATCTGAGGAAATGTCTTCTTCCTCCGGCCCGGTCGGCGTCTCGTGGTTAGGGATGGTGGTGGGTGGGTGCGTGGCCGGCGGCGATGTCAACGTGGATTTGCAGCAGGTGATGACCGGCCCAGCCCAACAATTTTTGGGCCGGATGGTAGCCTAATCCGCTCATTTTCAGTTCTGTTTAACCGAGGAAAAGATCCCCTAAAAAAACTGAAGAAATAGCACCCCTAAAAAAACCGAAGAAAAAGTTTTTATGGAGACTGAAGAAAAAGTAATGCTAAAAAACGAAGAAAATGTGAGAATCGTTTTTTCCATGTTCTAGAAATAAATAATACTATGTTTCGGAAAAAATGGTGCAGCTCATTTTTTTTAACATCAGTACAGACACAAGCACTCATATACACACGCATACACTCACCCCTATGAACGCACACACGCACACCCTACCCCTATGAGCACCTCCGAAAGACTGAGCCGGCATAACATCTTGAAATTCAGCTCATATTTATTCAGAGCCATTGTCAGGTGTTGTTTCCAAATTCCAATATAGTCAACGACTTGTTGCGAACATTTCGTTCTTTCCATCTCAGTTTGTTGCAGATGGTTCTTACCACTGCCCCCAGAAATTCAAGACGGTAGGGAATGATCCAAAAAAGTGAAATGGCAACGGCATGTTTGATTGTCTTCCACACTTTTTGTGCCACAACCATGGCAAAACCACCATTTTTTGTGGCAGACAAAAATGGTCGTCACACCTGCAGAAAAAGGTTGGATAGAAAACGATTTTATCACAAGCAAGGTCAGATGTTAAAAAGGTGTGGCACATCACAACTGTGGCTACAAATCAAACATGTCCTTAGTTGTTACATTAGCTTCTAGTATAAGGTTAGTTTATACACCAGGAAAGACATCAGACCTATTCCTGCTACAGCTGCAGTACATCATATTTCTGCTGGAAGGGGAGAAGCCTTCAATCTAATCAGAACTCATGACCATCCCATGGGTATAGAGAAGCATGATGCACAATCAAGCTGCACCGGCATTGCCTTGGCCGCCATCCGGAGCACTTTCCATTGTCCTAGATGAGCCGCTGCGCGAGAGTTGGGATGCCACGGTGCTGGGTTTCTGCGCCTCAGTGGCAATCAGCGACGCGCTGCCCTCTGCTTCTTGGTGAAGAGGAACACTGGCCGCTAATGGAGCAGAGGCATTTGCTTCTTGAGCTTCACTGGACACGGAATGCGCACTCTTTTCTTTAGATGTAACTGTGAACAACACAAACAACACATATCAAGGGAAAGAAGAGGGAAGGTAGCTATCCTACCGTCCAGATGTCAGGAGTTGCGTGGAATACCATGAGAAGAAACAGAGCTGTGCGGTGCTGGAGGCGTGACTTGCGACGAAGCTGCCGCCGTTAGGGTTCCTCTTTTATTTCTTGCCTGCAGAAGGAATGAAATGATGTGAAGGATGAAAAGCTACACAGCAAGTACTCCCAAGATGAGCAGTGCAGGACGTACCTTCATCTCATCGCAGTACTTTACGACAGCGGATATGTTGCAATATCGACCGTGAACTAATGTATATACCCACAGAAGGAGCTTCCTTGGGATGCTTAGGTCAAGGGTGTCAACTATACCGGGGGCTTGCTGTAATGACCCTTCAACAGATGCCTGGGATGGGGTTACTGTGTAGAGATTAATACCTGAGGGAAATGTTCCACAAGAACTGTCCCGATAAAAGTTGTAAGTGCTCTTCATTACAGTAACTGCAGTCTCCATGTTATCCTCGGATGTCTGTCTGATTGGAATGTTTTTAATTCTAGCGAGTGTCTCAAACCAATTCATGTCAAGACCTTTGAATTGAGTAGGCCCATCAGGGGATGAGATAAGGAGCTCATCAGGTTGCAGATCAACGTAAAGTAGAAGGCCATTGGATAACGGGACAGGCTGATTGTCTGTGTCCATAGATTCAGGCAGCGGGGTGATTGAGGCCAGTTTGATGAGTATACACCGGCACCACGACAGAGAAGCATGCTTACAGATCTTCGCAAAGTTGCTATTTGACAATTTAGGTGTCTTGAAACGCTTTCTTATCTTCTCGTTTAGTGCTTCAAGAACATCTACTCGGACATCGCTTTCGAGCAAATGGATATATTGGTGGATATAGCTGCCATAAGGAAGCACTAATAAAACAACTGTCTAGCTTAAAGAATAGCGTATTGCACTCTGATTGAATTACTTACCCGTAAAGATTGCTTTCTGACAACTCTGGACTGTTCACCTCTGGTATGGTGTTTATATCAGCCAACATGTTTGCATGGTCCATGAATATGCCAAACATTTTCTCAAGTAGTTGCTCAGTAGAAACATCACCACAAACTCGACGGATCTCAGGATCACGGATCGCTGCTGTTAAAACTTGAAGATACTTCCCGAGACCGACAGGAACAATATCACCCAAACATAGAGCAAACTACAAAAGAGAACAAATAGTTATTGTATATCCAGAAAAAAGGTATGTATTAACATCATTATACTGATAATTAGGAGGTACCCTCTTATCGGTTCGCAGGTATGTGTATGCCCTCTCAAGAGTCCACAAATCCATGTTCTTCTCCAACAGGTCCAAGTATAGTATCATATACTTCCTGATGCATGTAATGAATTTTCGTGAACTTTCTGATAAACTGACCTCCAGATTCTTTCTGGATACACCAATATTCGGGTTTTTCCTCCTGAAAGAAAGAACGGACAATAAGAATTCTTTGGGGGAACTATCAATATCAGAAGTTGTAAAAGTCAATTACATCAGTATGTAAGTTCAGAACAACATTAAACATGTAGCAAAAGAGGCTTTACCTTCCTTTTCTAACAGCACCATCAATTTCCCACATGTTCACTGTAAAGGAAGAGCGAGTGGATTTGAAACAAAATGAGAGCTCTTCCTTAGCCCGCTCCAGGTCCCCTGCTTCACCCCTTCTATAAAATCCTTGAGCAAGCTTGTACCTTGCCTTGTGGAAATGCTTTAACTCCCCTTCCACACAAGTACCAAGGGCATGCAGACAGTCATCATAAAGGATGTGCCATGCTTTATCAAGTAAATCAGGCTTAACTAACTTATTTCCCTCCGCATCATCCAGAACATTATCATTCTGTTCAGAGGACCCCAACATGCTCAAGACATTTTCCTTAGTCGACTGATTGTATGTGTAATCAGCAACTACCTACAAACCACACAATCCACAAAGTTAATATTTAATTATCTATTACTAAACTACTATGACACAAATAAAACCATAACTACCAACAAGGATGCATCGCTGATTGGAAATCCAGAATGATGAAGGTCTCATAAAGTATTTTGACATTACAAAATTATAATACTTAAGATTCTAATTCACACTTTGGTGTTATATATAATATTTAAAATTGAGCTCTTGGTGCCAGACAAGTTGCCCAATAGCCAAAGAGCTCGAAGATCCTGAGCTGACTTGGGCTCACTTGTCGGTGGCTCAGTTCGTAATTGCTTCGTCTTTTCACCCGTTGTCTTAATGAGCCAAGCTGGTTCATCAGCAGCTCGTTAGCTCATTTCATGTGTAATATAGCCCGAACCACATCTAGTTTATCATATAGGGCTATATAGAACATAAGGCCACACTTGTTTAGTTGGCATTTTGACATCACACGTGTCAGGTTTTTTTATCTATGAGAAACTTGGTTGGTGGTTGTTGAACTTAGTGAAACTATTGCTTACGTTGTTCTAGAACTTTAATTATTTATATGGCCTGTATGGAACCATTATTTATTATATATAAGAATGCCTTATAGAACTGCTATGCCTAGCATAGCCCCTAAAATCCAGTGAATTTAACCACCTGAGCTATCAAGATGCCAGATCTTGTCCAAGATACAGTTATAAATGTACTTCACTAATGTGCTAAATTAACCTTTTTAGAAGTGAAACCATCTGAAGAAACAGACAGATTCAGCCATTTGATTATCAACATGAGCATGGCTTCACTGGTGGAACATTCCATACCATCACTCACAAGTGAGTCAATATGCAAAAGCATATCCGGGTGAGGACAGGAGTATACTAAAACCATCAAATGAAGAGACTAAACTGCTGCCTAACATTTCTCTACATTTGTTTAAAAATCAATTGACATATTTTATCTTAACAAACCTGTATCACATTAAGATTCTGTTTCCCTCGGGTATAAAGTAATTTCAAGCGTGATGCATGCATCCTGTAAACCGGGTCAACTGCCGTTGGATTCAATGTGATGGCTTTCTTGTAGTATGAAAATGCCTTAGCAGGTGAATGCCCCAGTTTCTCACACAGCTTTCCAAGGTAAAATGCATGGAGCCACTGAGACCTGCAAGGTAAATAAGCATAATATATCATTACATGTACGACTCGACTCTCAGAGGTAGCGTAGAGCTAGGGTGTGCATGCTACATTCATAGTGGTGAGTGTGTGCGTGTTTGTGAGAGTCTACGTCTGTATTGTGTTTCGAAAAAACAGAAAATAGAAGATGAGTACAGGTTTTGTGTGTCAGATTACATGAGTTCAAAAGCCTTCTCAAATTGCTTCATCGAATTTTGGCAGTTAATGTCCCATGTTGCATCCTTCACAGGCAATGTAGCTCTTTGATCATAAAAAGGTACCACGTTTTGAATGCTGTCATAGTAAACTAGGGCCAACAATTCATGCATTTCAACCTGAAAAAAGGTGATTAGATGTCATTCCCAACAGTGTCCAAGTTTTGATCTAGAAAAATGGAATAACAAACTAACACAAAGGCATCTCGCTGGCGAGTACCAGAAAAACGATAGACTGATGGACACACCTGATCAGGAATAGTTCTAGCCAATATTAAACTCATCATCAGGCTGCGTCGACTATGTCTACGGCCTGCCTCAACCCTTTGAATTAAAGGTGTATTTGTTCGCCAATCCAAAATGCTTA